AACACGTGTCTGTTCTTCCACTCAAACTATTATATTAACCTTGTTATAGTGTCAGAAAAGTCTAGGGTAGCAAGTAATTATGGATTGAGTGATCATTCTATTGTTTTCTGCACTCGAAAGATAAAGAAAGCAGTGCTCAGTTGTCATAGCTCTGTAAGAGCTAAATTATGGGTCATAATTCAAATAACCCATTCTTAATTTCTTGGCCATAACATTTTCAACTAAAGGAGTAGTGCCAGGCTTTTTCACCCCCTCCCTTTGTGCTTTTTTGTTTTTATGTCTTGTAGCTGAACTTTCCTCCTTTCACTTCCATAATCATCTCATCCATCGTCATTGTCAATGTCACCAGCTCCATTCACCATGCCTGTGTCCACAGAACTACACTGAAAAAAATGATTTTGTGGTGAAGTAAATACTACAGAAAAAAAACAATGTAATTTACATGAAAAAGTTAGTTCAGGCAAGAATTTAAAAAACGAAGTAAATTCTATATTAGTACTCAATTCAAGCAAGTAGAAATGAAAGCGTAAATATCAACGTTATAAAATTAAGTTCATCATGCACTGGGCCTTGAATAATTAATGAGGTTGATTTTTCACTGGTTTCCAGCTGTATACACTGTTTTATCATTGCTTTTGTTGTTAGGATTAGTAACTTGTCATTTTGTGACATTTGGAGTTCATTTTCTACTCAAAATGACACATTTAAACACAAAAACGTTCCATCAAATGTTACCGTCATTGTGTATTGTCTACGAAGTATTGAGGTCTCTGTGTTCACATAATACTTTCCTTCTATAATGGAAATATGGTCTCACACAATATCTATTGTATTAATTACTTGGATGTTTCTAAGTAAAGCATATACTTTAAAAGTGTGGTTTTATTCAATGTTATATTGTTTGAGTGAAATGTATCACAAAGGAAACTTCTACTAAATAGATTTTACCTCAACCTTTTATTAGCCAAGTTAAGATTACTTATTTTCTTTTTTACTTTCACTTAACTTAGTTAAGTACAGTTTACTTAATTCCATATGTGAAATTTACTTTTAAAATATCTGTGCAAAAACTTGCCAAAGAAAAATTAAGTACATTTATCCTCAATCACCTGCACCTGGAAGCCATTACCCTCGTTATCTCACTCACTGGCTGCCTTCGCAGGACGCATTCAGGTGAGAAGGCATCAAGGCACGTCCGAATGCAGCGTTAGCTTCACTTCCTGTCTCTGTCCTGAGATCCTTCATCTGGTCGCTTTTTGAAGGCAGCATGTATTCTTCGGATTCTTCCCTGCCTTTGATATCCCACAATCCTGTGCTTTACATTCTGTGACAGTTGATCTAGAAAAATAAAGATGGCGTCTGAAATTTGCAGCTGTTCGTCAGTTTGTGTGTAAATGTACATTTTTGATAAATGTTTTTCACTTATGATGTAATTTTATGAAAGTAAAATAATGCCAAATGTTTTTGAAACAAAAAGCCTGTTGAATTGCACTACTTGACAAAAATATGCATTGCATTAACCATGCTTGCATTTTAATGCATTATATTTTAAGGACTTGCATTTTTTATTTGCTCAAATTCGACATGGTTGAATATTTAAGCTGTGAATATTTCAATTCAAAATATTTCAAACACATTTTCATTATTAAAAATTCAATAATCCATATTCACCCTTCATATTTCACTTCCAAAATATTCAAACTTTTTAAAAATACAACCTATAATATTCAACAGGCAATTTTCGGTCCATTTTATTTCGCTTCACAAATTCGCTTCCACAAATTCAGTGGTTCAAATTCGACAGTAAATTCAACACTGAGATCCAGGAACTGCAGGAAAAGCAGTAGATTACAGAGCATAATCCCCATCAGCTGTTTTTATCTGCTGTTTGTTTTTAACCGGAAAAAAAACGTTATCAAAAGAAAAGGCGATGGTCAAAGAATCTCTGACGTCCACCGGACTTTCTGGTGCGCCATGCCGCCGGTTGTTTTGATTTTGTTTCCGGTGCTTCCTCTGCGCCTCGTCACCTCGCTTTCTGATTGGCTACACGCCACAGTCTGCGTGCTCGTTTGTCCCCGGGGGGCACCACACACGAGGAGAAATCGGGCCAAAAAAATCCAACATGTTGGATATCCCCGATTTGAGATCTGAGCGGAACGTCCTTCCGAGCAGACGAGAGCAGTCTTAACACACCACACACGGCAGGAATATCTGATCAGATTATTTTACGATAATCGGAGCATCCTTAAGATTGTCGGAAGGGGTGAATCGGGGCTAAAATCGGCCTAATTTTCCTGCCGTGTGCACCAGTCATAACTATGGTGACCTTGAGCAAGGCACCTAACCCCAATCGCTCCCGGGGCGCCACAGCAATAATGGCTGCCCACTGCTCCAGGTCTGTGTGTTCAATAATACTCACTGCTGTGTGTGTGCACTTGGATGGGTGAAATGCATGGGACACCATACTTGGCTACACGTCACTTTCAAACTTTCACTTTCAAACTTCCCAGGACAGTCCCACTTCAGGGTTTATATTACATTTGGCGTCACAGGCGAGAGAAGGAGGAAGGCCATCTATAACAGCACAGAGGCTGCAGAGAAAGCAGCCATGTCTCTACTTGTACAAATCAGTCACTGTACATTCATTTAAAGGGTTAGTTCACCCCAAAATGAAAATTCTGTCAGTAACTACTCACCCTCATGTTGTTCCAACCCCGTAAGACCTTCGTTCATCTTCGGAACACAAATTAAGATATTTTTGATTAAATCTGAGAGCTGGATCACTCTGGATTCATTTCCTTCTCTGTGGGCCGTGAGATTTCACGTAGTGGAACTGCGCAACGGTTCTGTGTTGTACGTCACACGCAGGCTCACCATTGGCCGACGCTGGTCATGTGTGTGATGCGTGTGACGTACAACCTAGAAGCTTTGCGCAGTTTCACTACGTGAAATCTCACAGCCCACGGAGAAGGAAATCCAGAGTGATCCAGCTCTCAGATTTAATCAAAAATATCTTAATTTGTGTTCCGAAGATGAACGAAAGTCTTAGGGGGTTGAAACAACATGAGGGTGAGTAATTACTGACAGAATGTACATTTTGGGGTGAACTAACCCTTTAATTCTGACTTTCGCATACATAAAAAAGTCATTTGGTTGTGGATAGTAAGATACATTTGCAACATTCATGGATAATTGTGCATACATTTGTTAATTTTGAGAATAATTGCATTCAATAAAATCTGGACATGGCTATAAATTTGATCAAATCTGGACATTATAATGTGAAAACACTAACATAGCCTACTCTGTAGAGTTTGGGGCATCATATTTGGAAATCAAAGGTTGAAACAAAACTTTAATGAAGACTATATAGCTAATATCCAGTCAATAACAGGCACATTAATTGTTTGTGGAAAAACCTTTACTAGCATTTGTTACATTTGAGAGCCAACAATAAAAACGTCATGCACATTAAATTGGTGCATTAATGGACTGGGCATTGTTACAGATTTCACAATTCGATTTTGTTTCACAAGCTTTCGATGTGATTAAATTCATTTCGAAATATTTAATTTACATGTCATTTTTAAAGACAAAAATCTGCAAACAAATGCTGTGAACTATAGGCTGAACTCTCGGCTCACTCTCACTGAACCTCTCACATTGCTGTAATATTAAAGGTTAAACTTGGCAACACAGCCCAAACTATTATACTCAATTGGTATTTCAGGTATAATTAAAGGCGAATTAACACTCAAACAAAACAGTTGAATACAAACATTCAAATTAAACACATTTCTAGTTTTAGTGAGTGAATGAAAAAAGGGAAGTCTCAGTTTTAATTGATATACAAGTATTAAGCAGTTTTATGTAGGCTATTAAGTAAAAAACAACAACATATAAAGTGCAAATATTTAGCAATTTGTTCCTCTCCAGAGTTTAATCTGTCTAACTAATGAGCAGTGGACTTTGAATGACTTTCCTGAGGTAAATGTCATTTTGTTTTTTATCAGCTATTATTTATGTCTTCGCAGTAATACTGCAATTACATAAAAGATTATGATTGCATTGCCTGTGATGGACTGGCCACCTGTGCAGGGTGTTTAGAGTATAGCTTTCAAAGGTAAGCGAGTAAATGTTAATGTAGATATATTACTGCAAACGGTCTCCCTCCAATGGAAAAGCAGTGTATTACAGTTTTTCAAAAATGCTTACACTTTTTGAAACATTGCTCCATTTCTATAAACTCCACACACAAAACCACAAAACAATCTACACAAGATGCAAAACATCCCAAATCTATTGCAAAAGCAAATGCTTCATTCAAAACTATTTGAACTCTTCTAAAAATGCTATTTATGCTACTCTACACAGTACACAAAAATAAAATGACTCTACATAGGCACATACACGCCAAACAACACACAGATGTGATAAATGTAAAACACTAGGCCTACTATATTGTGTCTTTTGCTTGTTCGGTGTGCAGTGGAGTGTACAGGAGTTTGTCAAAGGTGTACAAATATCAGTCATATCATCAGTAAATGAGTGTGGCATTTAAATAGTAGTGTTTCTCAAATGAAACTAAAGAGCTGTTGTTAGTTTTAAATGAAGTGTCTAATGTAGAGAACTATGTTTAGAGTTTTGCAAAAAGTTTGTTTTACAATAGCAAACTGAGTTTAAAGCACATAATGTGTTTGTAGTTCTGTAGACCTGGTCTAAAGATTAGGTATGTGAATGGTTTCACTTGGGCCTCAAGACCTTTTAGTGTCTAAGCAATTAAAAAAAAAAATGTAAATGGAAAAAGCCTTCAGCATCATGTAATTAATATTCATAAAGAAGGGTCTCATTGTGACAGGTCTGGAAGACCATCGTTGTTTGTCAACCGCCAATAAAATCTCAAAAAGAAGAAGACGGAAGAAGGAAGACCTTATTAATATTCATAACCCAATCCTTCGTCATAGTAATTTGGCATGAGGCTTAGTTAGTCGCTAGCCGAGCTCATCGATCTGGTCATCATGCAGTTGCAGCGTCATTGTGGGCTGTCGTTTGAATGAAGTTACAAGACATACAGATCTTCCGCATCCCAACTTAAACCCGGCATTTGGTGTAGAGCTGTTTAAAGGACAAGCAAACAGAAAGATGCCCGTATTTACAGGTCTGTTCACAGTATGATTTGACATAAATCATAGTTAGTTTTTAAACGATAAGAGATGCGTTAGAAGAGGCAGCGCCGTTAGCATGAGACATTAGCTCCAGGCCTCAGTTGATGGTTTCTGTTTAAAAACAGAGGGAAAGCTAAACAAGAAGCAGAAATCCCATAACAAGCGTTCTGGTGTGACTTGTATTTAGGCGTTACGTTTATTTTATATGGAAATGTATGATGTGAAATGTAAACGTTCAGACTTGAGTAACGTTACTTATTAGTGATGAAGCATGTTATCATGCCGGCTAGGCGGCTCACACTTTATTTTAATACATTTTAAAACTTATAGCACTTTCAATTAATAGACAGTATTTCTGAACAGTAGGTAACGTTACAGACTTTACACTAAAAAAATGTAGTTGTTGCAAAATTGACTGTAGAACAGCTTGTAGGCTAAACATCAAAATTGATGCATCATGGCTTGTATCCATAGTTGTGCTGCAAATCTGGTGTGTTGTAAATTTACTAGTTCACTGTAATGGATTTCCAGGGATACATTTGTTAAACTATATTATTTATATATATGTCTTACTGCTGTAATAACGTTCAGGTGTAGCATCTCATGTGGTGGTTATGTTTTGTGTGTAGTCTCAGCTCAGTCGTGTTAATGGGGTTTCAAACAAACATATTTCAAAGAATAGTTCACCCCTGATTGTTCAGGATGTTATGCTAAAAATATTTGTTTTCCACCTAAGCAGAAATATAATTGTATCGTTTCAAAAGACATGAGGATGAGTAGAAGATGATTGAATATTCACTTGTGGGTCACTTGTAAAGCAGGTGTTTTAAAGCTGTTCCCTGCTCCCTACACATTTTGGAGGTTTCCCTTATGGACCCTTTTCACATTTCCGGGGTTCTCAGAAACAGCTGGTGTCATGAGCTGTGTTTCCATCCACCTATTTTTATGTGCATTTTGGGATATGGAATAAAAAAAAAATGCTGGATGGAAACGTCAAGATGCGCATACGGTTGTGGCCAGAATTATTGGCACCCCTGGTTATATGATCAAAGATGGCTGTAAAAAAAATCTGCATTGTTTATCCTTTTGATCTTTTTCAAAAAATTTGCAAGAAGAGAACCTTTTTCTCCATAATGCCGGATGAGTTTGGAGATCAGAGTCCATTCCTCCATACAGAATCTCTCCAGATCCTGCAGGTTCCCAGATCCATGCTGGCGCTTCTACTCTTCAGTTCAGCTCACTCATCTTCTATAGGGTTCAGGTCAGGGACTGGGACGGTCACGGCAGAAGCTGCGTTTTGTGCTCAGAGACACATTTTTGTGTTTTGATGTTTGTTTTATATCGTTGTCCTCATGGAAGATCCAATCACGGCCCATTATAAGATTTCTAGCAGAGGAAATTTGAATTTATCTGTTGATATTTGATAGAATCCACGATGCCATGTATCTGAACAAGATGTCCAGGACCTTCAGCAGAAAAATAGGCCCACAACATTAAAGATCCAGTGGTATATTTAACCGTAGGCATGGGGTACTTTTTATCCCTGTGTGCACCAAACCCATCTGGTGTGTTTGCTGCCAAAAAGCTCTTTTTTTAGTTTCATCTGTCCACAGAACCCTGTGGCGTTTGAAGATCCAGCCGTGTGTCTGACAACTGAATAGCAAGGAGGATTTTTCTTAAAACCCTCCCAAATAACATGTGATGTAGGGGCTGTTTGATTTATTTATTTATTTTAAATTTTTGGAAACCTAATCTCTGCAATTCTCCATCTATGATCCTCTGAGAGTCTTTGGCCACTCAAACGCTCCTCCTCACCGTGCATTAGGACGATATAGACACACGTCCTCTTCCTGGCAGATTCATATCATCTTTAGTTGATTATTGCCCTGATGGTGGAAATGTGAATTTTCAATGCTATTTTCTTACAGCCACTTTCTGTTTTGTGAAGCTCAACAATCTTTTGCTGCACATCAGAACTATATTCTTTGGTTTTACTCGTTGTGATGATGGATGATTAAGGGAATTTGGCCTTTGTGTTTCCTCATATTTAAACTCCTGTGAAACAAGAAGTCATAGCTGGAGAATTTCATGCTCCTAGTCACCCTGGGGTGCAATTTTTTTTTTAAATATTCATGGGGATATACTTCAGAGATATTTTACCTATATAAATTCTAGGGGTCCAATAATCATTCCAATAATTGTGGCCAACGTGTTTTGTTCAATGAATGATTCGATTTTTGTGCTTTTTTAAATGAAAGATCAAAAGGATAAACAATACAGATTTATTTTTACAGCCATCTTTGATCATATTTTTTACATGGGGTGCCGATAATTCTGACCACAACTGTAAATTCTCAAAATGCACATAAAAAAACATGCGCTAATTGAGACGAATAAGTGTATTATGTGGATGGAAACCCATTTACCGAATAAATCCCTCGACTGACTCGCGTGACTGCCTCAACAGAGGATCTGATTGGATAACCGGACTAATCACGGACCAACCGCATCGCACAGCATCTCAAACGCTGCTTTGGTCGTTCCTTTTGCGTTTCCTAAAAGCATCGTCAGCCAACCATGGTCACGACTCAGAAGATCCGCTGAACTCTGTTGGTAACGATGGAACTTGCGACTATAGTTCGTTTTGGAAAAATACCTAAGCCAAAGTCTGTCCTCCAAAATGATCTGGTTTATTTCCCTCCCAGTGGCATCTCACATGATTTCCTTCCCGAACACCAGGTCGGTGTATCTATAGATGGGTTAACTGGTATCGTGATGAATGAAACTTTTGCTCCAATAGAAAAGAAATGCGGCTTTCTACGACTTTCCAAAAAGATGGAAAAAATATAGTGAGGTTGTTTACGGCAGTCATAAGAGAGAAAGATGAGGAATTTATCGTCACTCCCTCAGGCGCTGTAATAGAAAAATGTGCAGTACTGGGTGTGGAGAATCCTGGGATAGTCTGAAAACCCATACGTATTTTCGTAGAAGACAAGATGCAAAGTTTGCCACTGGGGTAAAAAGTCTGTATCTCGCTGCTCTTTGGATGTGGGATAGTTACAAAAGACATTAGAGGCCAAGGCATTTGAGAATGTAGAAAAAATATACAAAGCCTTTCTGTAGACTATCAGCAATGTGCAGATGCGTGGCACTGAATAATTTAGCTGTGTCACTATTCTTTTGGTGTCTTGATTTTTCCTTCTTTTTCTCTGTGAATATCTTAGTGAATGTGAAATGGGGAAAGGAGAAGTTTGATGCGGTGGAGCTGAACACAGAGGAGCCGCCCATGGTGTTCAAAGCCCAGCTTTTCGCTCTAACAGGAGTTCAGCCGGAGAGACAGAAGGTCATGGTGAAAGGAGGAACACTGAAGGTACTGGCTGGAGTCTGTAACGGAGAGCTGTCATATTTACTGTCCTCTGTTATTGCTGGTATGTGACTTCTTTTACCTTTTGTTCACCAGGATGATGAGTGGGGCAATATCAAGTTGAAAAATGTAAGTATGTGGCTAAATCTTGACTTCTGGTAGATTCAGAAAATGCACTTAAAGAGTCGACCTGTAATAAGAGTTCAGCAGTTTATAGTAACACAAGATCCAAAATAGGTGATCCAACAGTACACCTTAATTTAATAATTAGTTCTGATTAGTTCCTTAATACACGTTCCTGGTCTTATTGTGCGCGTTTGTTGATGGCCATTCGAGCGCTAGTCTAGAACAGCGAGCAGTCGCGTGACTGACTGACTGCTGGAGCACTTCAGGTTCGGGTGGACCACCAAAAACAATGTTACAGCCGTTCATAAATCGTATAAATACATTCCCATTACCACAACTCCAGTTAAATATACTAAATTATTGCCTAGATTTATTGAAACTTCGCACAGAAGTCCGAGTGAGCAGCTTTGTCATCTCAGCTCAATGCAGCCCTTACATAGCGAAACGAAACCGCTAATGTACGACTACAAAAAAACTAAACTGTACATAAGTAAATTATATGAAATAGGCTAAAAAGAGTTTAAAAAAAAGAGCTAAAAAATAACTAAAATACAGTTTTGATTTAGTTTGTCATATTTAGCTGAATTTTGAACCTGCTCACCAAACCCACTCCCTTGAGGGGCGAGCCTGGGAAAGAAACAAAAGACATTTGACTCATTAGAAGGCAGTGTACCATCAGAATTATTTTGAAACTGATATTTCTAGTTAAAAAAAAACGTCCATACAGTTGCTTTAACAATTCACTACAAACTCAGGTCTGGCTCATAGACTGTAAAAAAACATAGACGTAGTGTCACGAAAATGGGCAAAGAGGCAGGATTAGCCGAGGTTACGTGGCGCTAACAGACAGCAGACAAACTGCTAGTAGTGACATCAGCGGCAATCCACCTGTCACTCAAGTGGCCGCACCCTTATTATGCACAACTTTAAGGCTTAATAAAATTGAAACGGATGAGCTATAAAATAATTCACTCTCCTCACAGTTGTCATAAAGGGCAAAATTAGCTATACAGACCAAAGCCACTTTTTGCACCAGGCTGTAAACATATATTTTTCTGCTGTAAAGTTGGGCATTTTAACATGGGGGTTTATGGGATTGACTCTCTTTTGGAGCCTGTCTCTAGTGGCCAGTCGCTGAATTGCAGTTTAAGTCACTTCCGTGCTGGATTCAAGAGAGAGACGGGAAGGTTGACTTTAAATGTGAGTTTTCTTCGGCTTAAGATGTTTTGATCCATGTAGGGGATGACTCTTCTGATGATGGGCTCCGCTGACGCCCTGCCTGAAGAGCCTGTAGTGCGACCCATGTTTGTAGAGGACATGACGGAGGAGCAGCTCGCGTCTGCCGTACGTGTTCAGGCCAGATCTGAAACAGATCTGCCATTACAGTATTTTAGCAGGAATCAGAGAGACAAGCCAACAGCTGTGAAATCATCTCTGCTATCTGTGTCATGTTCAGATGGAGTTGCCGTGTGGATTGACGAATCTGGGCAACACATGCTACATGAATGCAACAGTGCAGTGTCTACGCTCCGTGCCTGAGCTCAAAGGCGCTCTCAGGAGGTACAGTTTAGCCATGTCCTTCATATCCAGTTCACACATGTTATGTGGTGTAATGCATCAATGTGTTTTTGTGGTAATTCGCCTCCATCTGTAGGTATTCTGGTGCCTTGCGGTCTTCTGGAGCTAACGCACCTTCCCAGTACATCACAGCAGGTGACTGACTTTCACTATCAGTTTTGAGGTTACCGAATTCTTTTATTTATTTATTTGGCCAACTGTTTGGGGTCAGTATGTCCAAGCTAATGCATAAAAGAGTCAAGCTGTGTAGCCTTACTGAATCCCACAGGTTTTGTGGGCCGCATGTAGCTCATGTTTGATTCTTCTCTCAGCTCTGCGTGATTTGTATGAGTCCATGGATAAGACCTCGTCAAGCATTCCTCCCATCATTCTGCTGCAGTTCCTGCACATGGCCTTCCCACAGTTCGCTGAGAAAGGAGACCAGGGCCAGTACCTTCAGCAGGTCGGGTCACACATCTTTAGCTCAATACATTTAAGCAGAAAATGTTCTGTCAAAGTGGAACGTTTTTATATATATGTGTGTATTTTTCCATTTACTCAGGATGCCAATGAGTGCTGGGTCCAGATGATGCGGGTCCTTCAGCAGAAACTAGAACCTGAAGAACTAGAAACCCCACCAGAGGCAAGGCTACTCTATTATATATATATATTCATATTCATTCTAGGGTTGTCAAAAGTATAGATACTTTGTTTACAAGTTGGTACTGAACTCTGTGAGGAGCATCAAAGGTTTCTATTTACAACGTGTTTTTGAAGCATTGATCATTGTAGCCAATCACAGACTTATGTTGCGCATGATGCCAATCAGAGATGTTTAAGTTAGTCGTAATCCACTCAACATGCTCGTGAATCCTTTATTTCCAAAAAAGTGTAAACGCGATGTAAATAAGAGATTATTTGTGCAGTGTGGACAGCTTTTTTGACTATTTTCATAGTAGTGTGTATCTAACCGTGTAGAGTAGACCAGGGGTGCTAACGATTAATCGATTAATTGTCGATAATAATTTAATCGATAACTTAACGATCGTCGATTAAGCCGGTTCATGCGCATACGCTCAACCGCGAAACACGTAAAGCAGATACGAGTAAAAAAAGCAAAGTTATGTTTGGGACCTTTAAGGCTAGAATTACAACTTCATGACAATAAGTTTGCATGTGCATTCGCAGCCTTTTGTTTTGTGTAAATGTAAGTTGTAATATTGTTTATTTTGTGTAGGCCTATATATATATATCTGATTGATCTCATAGAGGATGCTACGGTTGAGAATGAATGCGGTAGTAAAACACGCCGGTGATCATCTTCAGCCGCTCAAATAGCAATGCACGACTAATAATGACTATGATTTGGACTGTCATATTACATAACACGATAGAGAGAACTATATTGTAATAAATCGTTGTGAATTCATTGGGTTTAGCTGCCGTGTTTCAGCGCATCCACAACAGTAGTTACACATTCTGACAAGCACACATAATCTGAGGCGCCGTTGGTGACATTTAATAATCAAATATAACGACTACAACATAAGTAATTTAATGAAATGATCAATCACATCAACTCATTTTACAATCCCACCTGCCCTTTATTTAGATTAAAAACCCATCTCATTCATTTGGTGAGGAACATGGCGTTTTGAGCAGATTTGCAGACCCTGTCATGCTGTCGGCCATATGATACTGCAGCGGCAGGATTAATGCTAATGATTAATTGATCGTTAATTTAAACGACGATCGATCATGGGAATTTGTGTAAATTGACATCCCTAGTGTACACTGCAAATATTCTTTACATCTGTTTTGAATTGCGTGATTGAATCCGAAACTGCATTGATTGACAGGGATATAACCATAGCAACAGATGGGACGACGCAATCTGATACTGTATGTCAAAATACATGTATCTTAAAGTGTAAATGGACACTAGTTGACCTGCCACTTGTTCTATCTTTTTATAAGCAATGTTTACTTAATACATTTAAATGTTTATATTTACTTATAATTAGTATCATCATAATTAAACTCATTTAATTTAATGAAAATTTGTATTTTCAAATAGTTCAATAAAATAGTAAATTAGTTCTTGCTATGGTATTGAAATTGACATATTGACAGCCGTGAAATCTCACTGGTATTTGTACCGACTACTGGAATTTTGGTGCTGTGACAACCCTAATATATTCAAACTCTTTCATTACAGAAATGCAGAGAATTTATAATAAAATGGGTCTTTATTTGTAACATTGTTTTTTAGCTTGCAGACAAATATGATAATGTATCTATTCTTCTTTGTTTGTTTTGGTGGAATAACAGACTGACAGTGATAGTGGAGCTGCTGCCGCCGCAAAAAAGAAGAATTTCATCGATCAGTATTTTGGTGTTGAAATTGAAACTACGTATCCTTTGAGAAGTGCCTGTTGTACACGTCTATATCAGCATGTGCTCTCTCAGTCAGTGATTCTGTGGGCTGTTCTTTCTTCAACACACTGCATTTCTTCAATGTTTACTAGGGTTGGGAATCGAAAATCGGGATACTTAAGGTCAAGAATCATCATGTTCGATTCCTCTTATCGATTCCTTTGTGTGCATCTTAATATGCTTCCAAAACGAGCGCACAGAAAGCCGCCTCTTATACTGTATACTGTAGTTCCTTCCGCCTCTTTTTGCACTTGAACGGATAAATATACACACAAAAACGTCAAAAGATCCTCAAACACAGTAGCTTATGTCTTAAATGTAAACATTTGACAAAGGCATCAGATGTTGTAGTCGGAGTTCACTTAAGGCGTGGGTATACTTCATTTCCCAAAGTATACTTTGGGCTTTACGCTACTCTGATAACACTGAGAAATGAACTCGACTTGTCATGTTTGGGGGAATGATCTATAATCCCGCTGACTATTTGATTATGTAAGTCTTTTGAATTCACTGCGTCACATTGCACTGCACGATTCTGCTTAGCAGCCATTATGATGATATATTATGGGGAAGGCCAGACTGAGCATAATGTGTTTTGTAGTCTGACGACTCCTGGACTGAGTTGAAATTTTCACCAGGCCAATAGATATGAATTGTACGGTACTTAACCTTTATGTGTCCAGTATGAAATGTACCGAGTCAGAGGACGAGGACCCAACTAAAGGCTCCGAGAGCCAGCTGCAGCTCAGCTGCTTCATCAACCAGGAAGTGAAATATCTCGCCACTGGACTCCGACTGGTGAGTGGACCGTCCCGTACGCAGAGCCACCGGTGCTCACAATCCCTGTTAATATTGACCCTGTCTCTCTCATTATATCCAGAGGCTACAGGAGGACATCACGAAGTTCTCTCCATCCTTACAAAGAAATGCCCTCTATATCAAATCGGTATGTTTTACCTTTTGGCATTTCTGGCGTCAGTGGAGAAATGCTGCTTTTTGTTCAAGCGTTTTCTCTTTCGTACAAGAATAAAACAGTCACTTTTTCTGTTTCTGCATTCAAGTCCAAAATCAGCCGTCTCCCGGCATACCTCACGGTTCAAATGGTGCGGTTCTTTTACAAAGAAAAAGAGTCTGTGAATGCCAAAGTCCTCAAGGTAGGTCTTTTACTGAGCAGGGGTTTAAGATATCAGGTGTTGTCACCAAAATATCTATAAATTGATTGTAAACTTGAATTTTGCTGCATTTAGGATGTCAAATTTCCTCTTATGCTGGACGTCTTTGAGCTGTGCACTCCTGAACTTCAGGAGAAGATGCTTCCTATGAGGACAAAGTTTAAGGAGGATGAAGACAAGAAATTGGAGATGCAGCAGCAGCAGCCGAAAGCAAGTGCCCTGTGTGACGTCATGCTGAACGCATCTTGCTTTTTGAAAAGCCATCTAACATTTTGTTTCTCATTCAACAGGTGATTCAGAAGGTTGGGGCACCAAAGGATAAAAAATATGAACCTTTCTGTTTTTCTGAAGGTGAGCACTCACTGCAAAGCTACTAATGTCAGGGATAGGCAACGTCGATCCTGGAGTGCCGCTGTCCTGCAGAGTTTAGCTCCAACCCTAATCAAACACACCTGAGCAAGCTAAACAATGTCTTCAGGATTACTAATGCTAAAGGCAGGCGAGTTTATATCAGGGTTGGAGCTAAACTCTGCAGGACAGCGGCACTCCAGGATCGACGTTGCCTATCCCTGGTCTACATGGTTCTGTAAGTTTAGTGTGCAGATTGATTTATAAGCTTCACTTCGTTCTTCTCTACAGACTTGGGCTCCAACAACAGCGGTTACTACGACCTGCAAGCGGTTCTGACGCATCAGGGCCGATCCAGTTCATCTGGCCACTATGTCGGCTGGGTTAAAAGGAAAGAAGGTCAAGTATTGTCGTTGTCAAATCAAGTTTTTGCTTTCATTATTTGTAAAACGTACTTGCATAGTCTTTATTTTTGCCTTTGCAACTGTAAACGCGACTTGATAGCATTCTTTCCTAGTGTTGGGTAATGCTACTTTTACAAGTTATCCATTACAATATTTCGTTATTCCCTAAAAAGTAACTAATTATTTTAGTTGCTTTTTATGGAAAGTTATGTAGCCACTGCTCCCTCTAAGCTACGCACGTGTGCACGACAAAATTAATAAAATGCTGTGGAAAAGGTAGACGTAAAATATGTGGGGAAAGCCATTTCATTGTATTGTAGCGAATAAGAAATAATTGCAGTGTTTGGATCAACCGCTGTAGAGTTAGATAGACAGACGGGTTTAATAGAGCATGATGTGAGCCAAATCACTCACTGTTGGTACACTCTAATGGACGGGGTACAAAAGAGCTCAAGATTCAATGCAAATACATGAGAAAAAAAGGCATGTTTTAAATAAGAGGTTTGATCAAGTGCTGGAAATAACTATGATTAGCGCAGCACGGTAACTCAGATCCGTTTAAATGACGGGTTCACGCTCAAAGCACTCCTAGGACACCTGCCACAGTACTCCCATCCCGAGGACACGAGGCATGGAAAGAGTAACAGGGTTACTTGTTTATAATAATGACTACATGTCTTGTATATTTTAAATGAGTTATGGTACTTATAAAAGTAATCTGATTACTGTAATGTAATGTGTGTTACCCAACACTGCCTGGTAATTCCCCAAATCTATTTTTCAAAATATCTAGGCAAATTTGCATACATTTCCAGCTCAAGCTGTTTATTTCTTCTGATGTATGTTTGTGTAGAGGAGGGGTTGTCCAGTCCTGCGTTGAGGAGCAGCTGCAGCTAAACCGCTTCTGGTGTTCCTTAAAGGGATAGTTCACCCACCAATGAAAACCGTCATCATTTTCTCACACTCATGTCGTTCCAAACCCGTAGGACTTTTGTTCATCTTCGGAACACAAATGAAGTTTGAGGAAATCTGAGCGATTTCTGTCCCTGAAACTGTGACGCTTCAAAAAGTTCATCACAAAACGAATTCGTATGAATTGAGCAGTTTAGTCTAAATTCTCTGAAAAGACTCGATAGCTTTATATGATGAATTTAGGCTTTTATTCACATAGAAACATTCATCAACAGAAGCAAGTATGTTCGCGTGACGTGTGAGAACCAATGAGGTTCATTCTCGTGTTACGCAGCAATATCTTATTTCATCAAAGCTCTGAAGATGATGAACTAAAGTCTTATGGGTTTGGAACGGCATGAGGGTGAATAATTAATGACAGAATTAACATTTTTGGGTGAACTATCCCTTAAGACCTTGATTAGTATTTCTAATCAGGGTTTGATTCCCCCTTCTAATGCTCGAGTGCTTTGCTGTTGTATCTGGTGTTGATACCTCACTCTCTCTGAACAGATGAATGGATGAAGTTTGACGATGACAAGGTCAGCGTGGTGACCCCTGAGGACATCCTGAAGCTGTCTGGTGGAGGGGATTGGCATATAGCATATGTCCTTCTGTACGGCCCCCGGCGTCTGGAAATACTGGAGTAACGGTGTTTCACAGAGGAAACTTAAACCATAATTGCCATTTTCAAAGCACTGTCTGTATAGATGTGCAAATAAATTTGTGTCTTTAAAAACACGACCGTAATTTCTGAACTCTTCATGCATCAACTCAAGTGGCGTGTCTGTTAAGGGTGTTTTCCCCCTTTCATGGATGGTAGGTTGATGGACCTGATCCTTTTTATTGGACTTTTTTTTAACGTTTTCTATATGCATTGAATATTTTTTTAAGCCTGTGAAAAGGTGTTCATGCTCAATAGACAGAATCCCACCACAGTATCTAAAGATGTTCTTGGCCACAATACTGGATACTGGGATCTCTCCAAAAGGACCGTGTGTCTGAACGACCAAAGGTGGATTTCATATCAAAGCACTTTGAGAAGATGTTGTTCTGCTCGATTACTGCTTCTGTCTTCTAGCTGCCGTTCAACACATGCAACTGTAATCTTATCTGTCCTGAAATACTCAAATACAATCAAACCAAGAGAATTGACCTCTGTAATAAGTTATTGTTTACTGGCTTTTCATAAACCGTGAAAACAAATAAACATGCCATTAACACTCTTGTGTGTATTTTACAAACAAAACTGATTCATTTCAAATTGCCATTTATTTAAAAAAATGTAAAGTAAACAACTCATCCAAGTACAGAAAAAACATATCAAATAGTTCAAACGGAAGGAAAAGGCTATGTTTCGTTGAGGCCATCTGTGATGTTCCTGAACCCAGCCGTGTTTAGGGCCGTGACCAGGCTCTCCATCGTGGCTTGAGGGCCTTCTCGGTCCTGCCAGGCCACCAGCAGCATCTTGGCCTGCAGCTCTACGTCCTCGCTGTCAGACTCGATCACGCGGATCTCCTTCTCGCTCATCTCCAGCTGATCCGCCAGCGTCTTCCACCGGGACCCGAGCTTGCCTGCGATCTCGTCCATCTGACTGTTGGTCACCGCCTTGCTCCGAATGCTGGGACCTGGAGAGATTTCACTTTGAGTCAAACTAAACGCTCGGGTCCAAAATCTGCACTATTCACAACATGCATCTCAGGGGCTGTTTTACACGACACCATTTTTATGCGTTTTGACAATGGTGTCGTCTGTACGCGGAAAACTCAAAGGAAGACCTTCTCAGTTTTAAGCATATCGTTGTCGTGTGAACGTCCCCTCAAATGAGTCTCCTGTGACCACTTGTAATTGGATTTCATAATCTACCGGTACCTTACTTCCACTGACTCGCTGAAAGGAGTTCTTGGCCCAAATGGAAAGAAGGCAAACCACGGGCATCCATATTGTATATGTGCATTTAAGGGTGAAGCCACAGAGGCACAGACCCCTCTTGTGATCGTTAGGTTTGCAGCCCATAGAACCATATGGTATAAAAAAAGAAGACTTGTGTGTTAGAGTAAAATTGGGAGTATCTCAAATCCCTCACCTGCTCAAAGTGTCACCAGTTTATGCTAATACGCTTTTAACGCCTATAAACAAGTCCTGAGTTTTGAGGTTCTTGAGTCGCCTATTAACAAGTTCCAATTTAAGAATTTTCATAAACTACTCGTCTTAGACGATTCATTCCATCATGTAGATGGAACTGCCATAAAAAAAGGGCGGATGATTACCACCATAAAAAAAATAAAAAAAATTCCTTTTCCTTTAAATCCTCACTTGTCTGGCTTATGCTACTCCGAGCAATGTCTGAACTTTGTATTTTGAGCACTTCTTGCGTTGTTTTTGCCTCTTCACGATGACTCGCTTGGTTTAGTCCTCAGTTGTAAGTTGCTTTGGATTAATGTAAAGATTGGCTCAGATCATTGTGAGGCCATGCTGGCGAAAAAAGTTGTTTATGCCAAAGTAGACGTGAGGCTGCATCTCTGAAACACTGGTGTATTGAGATGAAACTGGACTAGCTTCCATCACACACATGACCCGAGGTGCAGTTTTGGAAAGGAAATTAAAACAAAAGAAGGCAAAAATAATAATAATATTTACAAGACTGGACTTTTCAGATTTAATGCAGCATATAGAGATAAACGACGCTCGGTTTTCATACGCCCATTTTGAGTGTCTTTTGGAATTTTGACCAAAAAGAAAAAAGCTTTATTTTACAAATGCTTTGGTGTGTCATTATGAATTGTGGTGTGTTACCGCCACCAAGCCCTGAAGCAGTGTTTCCCTACCCGAGGTTTGGAGGAAGGCTTTCAGCTATGATTACCATGAGTCATTTGATTGTATCATTTATTTAATGTTTTACTAATAGCTGTTATTTCATACTGCTGATAGACATATTTACCTTACAAACTGTCTCACTCCGTTTACATAATATATATATATATATATATATATATATATATGGATAACTATGGCTATAGGAGGCCTAGGCTTACAGCGCCACCAAGCCATATGTAGCCATAGTTATCCAGTTATAAAACTAAAGTACAAAGTGAGGTGAGCAACACCATTCATTTAGCTGACTTCTCCCGTGTAGTTGTTACCTAGCAACAGCTGCCACTTGACAATGCCGTTCGGATCCAGAGAGTCCGGTGTGAACAGAGTCCAGTGGAGGCAATAGCTATAAAAACGATAAACTTTTGAGGTTTAATAATAAAAAAGAGCAACAGACTCACTGTCATTGCTCTCTTTCAACAGGTTATCTCCATTCTCATCGTCATCCTCCTCTCCCGTTTTTATCTCCTCAGAAGGAAGGTCTTTCTGTTAAAGAAAAAAAAAACATTCGGTCAAATTTATGCATTCATAAAATACTGAATATTTGAGTAAAATATTAAGCAAAATGTTTGAGTAAGTTTGTGTCTCACTTAAATTAATTGAAATGATATACATCGTTGCCTCCCCATTTAAACTAGGGATGGGCCATAAATTGCTATATTGTTTTTCATTATTCCACATATGTCTCTAAGATGATCAGGTGTGTATCTCAAAAAAGTCTGCATGCAAGTCCCAAGTGAAGTGGCACAGTTTTGTCTACTACACACACTCACCATGATAATTATGTCACGCGTGAATGCTTGTCAATGATTATGAAATGCATAGATTTTGAAAAGATTCTTTCAATTATTTTATTAAAGGTTAGTGGATATTTTGAATGAAAAACCAAAGGATAAACACCATTTTCCATGGCCATATTTACCAAGGGCGGCAAAATGTGTTGACGGCACTGCATACGTGTCACATAATAGAGGCTTTTATTATTAGCCCCCAATATTAGCCACTGAAAAGGCTATATCGGTCAAGCACAAGTTCGAAAGTTATCTACATTCCAGAAAGCTCCGCTAGTGTTTGATGAGGTGGATGCCCACTCACAGGAAGCTCTTTGGCCAGTTTGATGACCATGTTCTCCAGATAGTCTGCCAGGCTCTTGAACTGCTGATTGGTGGGCTGGAAGAAGTGAGGACTCCTCCTGGACAGCAATCGCAAGGCTCGCCAGCCGTAGTTTGAGTTGCGCACAACTCTGAGGGAAGACAAAGACTTCATTCATTCTGAGGTATAGTTTGTAATCATTTTGATTTAAGAGAGTAAAGGATGAATGTACTTGTACTCATCCTCCACCATGTTTGATGGATCTGCCTGTTCAATAGCTTCTACAAAAAACTCCTCCAGTGATGGCATGAATTCCCTTTGAACGAGACATGTATTAATGCTAAACGTCTCTTATTGAACACCTCTGAGGAAGTGTTTACCAAACACACACCTGGTTTCCGACTTGCAGGCCTCCATATTGTCCGGGTTCAGGTTCCAGAGTCTTGTGAGTTCGTCACTGTAGATGGTCAAGAACAGCAGAAATGCTAAATAAGATCTCAATCGAAGTCTCGGCAAAGTTGCACAGTAATCAAATATAATCTTACTTTCCCATGATGATTTTGCGATCAGGACCTTTCCCCAAAAAGTCTTCAGGCGCTTGTCTCTTTCGGCTGGGGCGGATGGGTTTGGTCTCCGCGGGTCTGAGAGAAACAAACATATTCATTCATAACTTGAAAAATAGCAGTGACCAAACCTGCAAACGAACGAGAGATGAACAGAAGATGTTTGTGTGTATCTAATGCGTAATGAGATAAAGCTGTTTGTGTGCCGTTTTTATTCAATACCTCTCTTTCACAAAGCTTGGGCAGCCCTCATTTTTCCAAGAGTTCCAGTTATCCTCTGTGTTTAGGATGTGCTGTTGGAGACATAATTCATAAATTAAGATGACATGAAAAAGCTTTTGGAGGCCAAAGCTGCATTTTCTATATGTGACCCTGGATCACAAAACCAGTCGCAAGTCGCACAGGTATATTTGTGGCAATACCCAACAACACAGTGTATGGGTCAAAGTTATCCATTTTTCCTTTCTGGCCAAAAATCATTAGGATATTAAGTAAAGATCATGTTCCATGAAGATATTTTGTAAATTTCCTACCATAAATATATAAAACATTTATTTTTGTGAGTACAATTGCGAACATAAATGGACAACTTTAAAGGCGATTTTCTCAGTGTTTCCATTTTTTTTGCACCCTCAGTTTCCAGAGGTTCAAATAGTTATCTCGGCCAAATATTGTCCTATCCTAACAAACCACACATCAATGGAAAGCTTATTTATTCAGCTTTCAGATGATGTATAAATCTCAATTTAAAAAAAATTACCCATGTGACTACATATGTGACCCTGGCTGGACCACAAAACCAATGTATTCATCACAAGATGAGAGCAAAACCTAAAACCCATATGCATACTTTAGAGACACTACTTACCTCAACCATAGACGCAAACTTGTCGCCATCAGGAGGGGTTTCTCTCAGTAACTGCAATGGTAATAACACAGTATGACACAGCGGTGTGATTAATATAGAAGTCACTCCTGTACCCAGGGTCCAATGTTCCTGAGATTCATAGGGTTCTTAAGAAAACATAGGGTCCTATTCCCTATATGTTAATGAAATGCAGTTTTTTTTACTGTAAATTTAAAGTTCACTTCCATAACACTTGAAATGCTGCTCCTCCGTGTTTTTTTATGGCAAAGTGCTGGCAACCACAGATGCTGTTTTTTAATGTATATTTTATGGGTTTATATTCTACAGTGAGGGAACCTGAAAAAGCT